ACCAGCCGAGAGCCCAGGGTCGGGGTGGGGGGGGTGGCGGTTATTATTAGGGAAGGCCTGGATCCAAGGGAGACCACTGTGCCGCAGACTGCCGGTTGTGAATCCCTAGGTGTGAAGTGGGGTCATGGGAGGCAGCAGGGCGTGCTGATTGTATACCTGGCTCCCCGCTATGTATCAGCAGCCCTACCCGAGCTACTCAATGTGATAGCCGAGATGGCGATTGAGACCCCCAGACTGTTAGTCATGGGGGATTTCAATCTGCCATCGTTAGGTGAAGCATCTGAGGTGGCTCGGGAGTTCATGGCCTCCATGACGGCCATGGACCTGACCCAATTAGTTGATGTCCCTACCCACACCGGAAGACACACACTGGACTTAGTTTTTGCCTCCGGCCAGTGGCTAAGTGATCATGGTTTAGGGGAAATGGTCGTTGAGCCCCTGTCATGGTCAGATCACTCTCTCCTTCGGCTGGCCTTTCCTACTGCTATGCCCCACCGTGGGGAGGCGGAACCAGAAGTGACAAAATGGTTCCACCCCAGGCGCCTGATGGACCCTGAGAGGTTCCAGACGGAGCTTGGGCCAATACCTGAGACCTTGACCCGTGGCTCGACTGAGGACATGGTGGCCGCCTGGAATGGTGCGGCCGCAGGGGCCTTGGACCAGGTCGTGCCTTTGCGGCCCCTCACCCGATGCCGGTCTACCTTGGCTCCTTGGTTTTCCGAGGAGCTGAGGGTGATGAAGCGTCGGAAGAGATGCCTAGAGAGTAGTTGGAGGGCCACCTGCTCCGAATCTGATCGGAAATTGGTAAAGTCCCATTTAAGGACTTACCTAGTAGCGATAAGAGCGGCGAAACGCAACTATTTCTCCGCTCTTATCGCGTCTGCAAGTAACCGATCTGCCGCCCTGTTTAGGGTGTCCCGCTCCCTCCTTCATCAGAGGGTCCGGGATGTCCCTTTGCAGGGTCGGGCAGAGGAATTTGGGTGTTACCTGCATGACAAAATCGATCGGATCCAGGCCGGGTTAGCCTCCGATTGGACTAGTTCAGGTGGGCCAATGGAGGCAGGTCTTGAGTCCATTTTATGGGAAGAGTTTGATCCTGTGACCCCCGAGGACATGAACAGGATGCTGGGACGGCTGAACACCACCACATGTTTACTGGACCCGTGTCCCTCCTGGCTGGTACTGGGCTCCCGGGAGGTTACACGAGGCTGGCTCCAGGGAATCGTCAACGCTTCTTTGAGTGAGGGGTTCTTGCCGGTTGCCTTGAAAGAGGCTGTGGTGAGGCCCCTCCTCAAGAAGCCCTCCCTGGACCCGGCTACTTTGGCCAACTACCGGCCTGTTTCCAACCTTCGCTTTCTTGCGAAGGTTGTTGAGAGTGTGGTGGCACGACAGCTCCATCAGCACCTGGAAGAAACTGTCTATCTAGACTCGCGCCAGTCCGGCTTCCGGCCTGGGCACAGCACGGAAACGGCATTGGTCGCGTTGGTTGATGATCTCTGGAGGGCTCGGGATAGGGGCTGTTCCTCTATCCTGGTCCTGTTAGACCTCTCAGCGGCTTTTGATACCATCGACCATGGTATCTTGTTGCACCGGTTA